AAGTCCACTAATGGTCAATATCACGATTGAGAAAACTGAAGTAAATTGCATTTTACATGTACAAGAGATGATACTTGCCTTGAAAATGTCTTTCTCCTCTTAGCAGGTCCTCTGACACACAGTCTCAACTTTCTGAACACGTCGGGGCATGTTAAATGGGGACTTAAAATCCTGAACTAAGTTGGAGAAAAATTAAGTTGTCAAGCGAATTTTATCAAGTTACAAGAACTTTAACTTTATGTCAAATCACTTAATGTAGACATTTAACTTGAAATAAGACACAATATTAATTTGATTTAATTATCAACATTATTATTTCGTCATAACTCAACAAAATAATGTTTCCAACTTAAAATGTTGATCTCAGTCAATAAATTAGGTTTTTTGGCCTGCTATCATGCATTTAATTAAGTGGCGGTAACAGGTCACCTGAATTACTTTTTAGAGTGTGATCTGGAATCTCTTCCTGGCCCCCCATTTGAGAACCACGGATCTATTACAATCGACCTTCAAGTCAAAATGCATGAGAAGGCCTCAAGATTAAATAGACATTCTACATCTACAGTTTACACGACAACTGTGCAGATTCTATCTGCTAATGAAGATCAAATGATCAGAAGCTCCAGAACAAGCTATTAAGGCTGAAATGGGTTTTTAATTCGACTGCATTGTAGTTGTTTCTGATCTTTCCCCCGCAAATACAATGGATCGGCAAATAAATCTCAGCTCAGCCTCTGTGGAATCAAAGTGGTTAACAACAAAAAATCTAATCAGTGCAGAAACTCGCGACCCTCTGCCTGGATTTGAATGGGTGCACGGGAAGCCCCGCCCGCCTCGGACGTAACGCGAGCCAATGACCACGCACCGTGCACCGTGTGCGGACGTCACATCACCATCACCAGTCATCCCGGTGGAGCCGCCGCTCCGCCTGCTTCAGTCTCCACAGCTCCTCTTGTCTGCCTGTCCGCCGAGCGTGAGCCGCTGCCTGAACACTTTACACGCCCGGGGAGACCCACGGAACTCGTCAGGGGAGCGGAGGACACGTCGTGGTGGACTGAAGAGACATGGTTGCAGACGGAGAGGAGAGGACGCTCGGCTGTCTCTACCTCTAACCAGCGATAAATCTACTTTGATGCGGCCGCTTAGCTAACAAGCTAACAGGGGATGTTTTCACAAACTAGCCAGGTAGTTAGCCTGCTAGCTAGCTAGACCGGCTATAGACATTGGCTTCACAGATTTAGCCTTTTACTTCAAATGCTACTTTTATCCCTCGATACGTTCAGTGGAATAATTACGACAACGTTCCAGACGATGTGTTGGATGTTTGGGACTCCGGTGCCCTCTGTTTGCTGTTCCCAGCAGGACAATAGTTAACAGTCCAGGCAACAAGTCTGCTGCTAAACACACTTAAGTTTGTGCTCGTTGTGTGTAGTGTTGATAGTTTCCTTTGTAGCCTCGGTTAGCTTGTAGGTGTTCACTTTAGATGCACAGGTTGAAGCGGGTCGGGTGTATGGGAGAACCTGTTGTCAGTTGATCGACACAACCACTGACGAGGAGACGAGGTGGATGAACATTAAACATCGCCCACATGCGTTGGATCAGCTCCCGGACTTGTGAAAGGCATCTGAAGCAGAAGGTGGGAGACGTGAGCGCACAGCCCTTGCAGCCCGGGGGAAGATGGCGGAGCGTTCCCGCAGGAGGTGGTGAAAACAAAACTTGGGGACGACTTGGATTTATCGCCAGACATCTTATCTCAGATCGTAGGACACATGCAGGCCAAAAAACGGTATTTAATTCTGTTCTCCGCCGGTGCGTGTCTTATCCTGTTGTTCTGTTTTGGAGGGATACAAGTCCCGCTGTCCAGGCGTGATGACCGCAGCCTCGCCGGTTATCACCCCGGGGCTCGGTGGCGTCGCTTCCCGGGGTACCTGCAGCACTTCAGCTCCTGGGAGCAGGACTGGAGCGACGATCGCAATGAGCACATATCTCCCAGGCAGAAGAGGGACGCTAACTCCGGCGTTGACTCTGGAAAACGCTGCCGAATGGAGTCCTGCTTTGATTTCTCCCTGTGTGAGAGGAATGGCTTCAAAGTTTATGTGCACCCCCCGCAGAAAGGGGAAAAGATGTCGGAGAGTTATCAGAACATTCTGTCCTCTATTGAAGGGTCCAGGTTCTATACACCTGACCCGGGAAAGGCATGCCTGTTTGTCCTGAGTCTGGACACGCTGGACCGGGACCAGCTTTCACCCCAGTATGTGCACAATCTGAGAGTAAAAATCCAGAGCCTTCCACTCTGGAATGGAGGCAAGAATCACATCATCTTCAATTTATACTCCGGCACCTGGCCAGACTACACGGAAGACCTTGGCTTTGACATCGGCCATGCCATGTTGGCTAAGGCCAGCATCAGTACAGAGAACTTTCGGCCTAACTTTGACGTTTCTATCCCTCTTTTCTCCAAAGACCACCCCAGGACAGGAGGTCAAAGAGGCTACCTAAAGCATAATGCCATTCCCCCCTATCGGAAGTACATGCTTGTTTTTAAGGGGAAGAGGTACCTAACTGGAATAGGTTCAGACACTAGGAACGCTTTATATCATGTTCACAACTCAGAGGATGTGGTCCTCCTCACCACTTGTAAGCATGGGAAGGACTGGCAGAAGCACAAGGATGCACGCTGTGATAAAGACAACACAGAATATGACAAGTGAGTACACTACCAGCTATTCAATCTCAATGGTTAACTTCACAACAAGGCTGTCATTCAGGTCTTGATTTATACAGCTCTATAGGATATGGGGTTCACTGCTGCTTTTAAAGGCCATAAACTCTATCTTATATTTCCATCTTGTCCTTATTTCTGTCAGCATCAAAATCCACTCTTATCCAACCCTGTCAGTAATAGGTATTTCCTGATTCTTCCTAGATGTCTAGGTTGTTGACAGTAACATAGTCTATCACTCATTAGTATATTAAATTTGGAAGTGTCTGATTGTGGTAATATCTCAACAACCCACATATATGGTTCATATTCTCAATTTACATCCGATTGTGGCTTTTGTCAATATGGTTTCCCATGTTGTGTTTCTTTCTTATGTGTTGATGGGATCTAGAGACTTAAGTCTGGGATATTGATAAATAACAAATCATTCTGGATCCCAGACTTTTGGAATTATGAGTATTTCTAAATGCTACATGACCAGAGGGCTGTCAAGATCCCAATTTCCTATGTTTAAGTTGAAATAATTTTGCACTATTGTTTTACTCAACAGCAACAGACTCAGATGAACATCAGTGATTTGTTTTAAATAGATTTCATATCATATGACTTTATTTACCAAATCACGAGGCTCAGATAAGCAGATTTGCCTTAATGTCAGCTCTGCCTGTTACTGTATTAATGTAATTCAATTGATATCTCCATCCGTCTATAAAGCGTGCTATTCATTAGTGAATTTTGCTCTCGACATTTCCAGCTTTCTGCTTATTTGTTAATTATGAGTTATGATAATCTCTGACAGAAATTGATGATTAATTAACATGTTTGCTACAATTGAACCCAGCTGAAAAGCTGAAAGTTAAATAAAGCCCTGTTATGCTATCTCTGAGACTCATCCCCATCCCTGCTGAAGGCATCGCCTCAAGAAATTGCTCTCTGACCATCACCCAGTTCTTCTGTTTTCTGTGCCCAAATCTGATGAGCAAACTGGCGTCTGTCTCCCTGCTTTGGCCAGTGGGATTCATTTCATGTCACCCCAGACTGTGCTGTGTTGTTACTGGTGACTGTATGGCGCTGGGTGTTTGACTGTGGCTCTTTGGAGTGGATTAACAGGGACAAAGCGCTGGTGCCAGTAAGGGGAAGCCACTCTGGCCCCTGTTTGCACAGTCATTTCCCAGACAAACCCAACTGCATCAGCCAGGAATGCCCTGGCCCCAACCCGTGTCCTGTGTGACCTCTCCGTTATTTGGGGACCTGCAGTGATTGATCCCCAATGATGCTGTCTGCTGTTCAGTTAGTGTGACCGACCATATCATATTATGTCATTGGGTCAATTACAACACCTGGCTGCAACATGCACATCCTCACTTAAGACACACCAGAAAAGCGTTTGAGCTCTATTTCAGAAATGATCCATGTCTATACTAATGCCTGCAAGTGCATATCACATCACTATTATCATACATGTGTATGTGCTTGTCCTCTTTGCCGTTGATTGTTTAATAATTGAAAATGCTATGAACAAGAAATTGTTACTGAAAATGCAACAATTTTGATTTGCTATCCATGTTGCATTTACCTCTGGTAGTCGAGACTGATGGTTTTTTGTTTACTCCAGTAAAACGATCACATGGTCGGAGCAGGCAAAGATAACTGATAAGATTAATCTGGAAGTAAATGTGGGTGCCTACGTCATTGTCTCCAAAAATGTCTGTTTCTACTCATCCAAACTAAAATGCAATCCAAGAGTTTTCCAACTAAACTGGGTCAGTAGCATTTCCTAAATTTGTGTTTTGGGGGCTAAAACTCTCTAGTTTTGTGGATGCCATGTGAAAAATATAGCAAAAGCAGCATATTAGTGTGACTGGAGCCTTACAGAGATGATGAGTTGTTTTCTTCATTTACCTTACCAGTAGCATGTTTTGATGTGTTTTTATGTCACAATGCCTGATGTGCTTGCTTAGTGTAAATCCTCTCATGTTTGTGTGTGCCTGTGCAGGTAAGAATCAGCTTAGATGGTTCATTCATTGGATTAGGCAAATAGAATTCTCCATATAAATCTTACGACATGAGTTATCTAGGCTCCTTCTGCCAGCTGACGAAATGCTGCCATGTGCTGCCAAGGAATGATTTCACACTGTGAGATGGGTGGCATCAGTGCCATCACAAGGGAAAATTAGGGAAAAGTAAAGGGAAAATTAAGTCATTAAGTAGCATTGGGCAGAAAAAAAGGCTTTAGGTACCCCACTAGCCCTTGCCAGCTTAACTTCATTGCATGGCCACTGAATGTTCAGTAGCTTTCAGTAAGTACATCCTCAGTAAGCCACACCACTATCAGTCAACAGGCTTTGGCTTGATCCCCAGTCAACTGTAGAATTCCTGTTAAATTATATACAAATGTACCTTCTTCTCCTAGGAGTACTGGTAGAGTCACAACATTCAGTAAATACAGTTAACTAATACAGTTACAAAAAGTTCTTACACTTAAAAGATGAGAAGCATCTGTAACATAAACGTTTCAAGTAGACAGTGTAGACAAGGGTTAGGGAATGGAACTTGAAAATATACCTTGAATTGCCCAGGGACTTTGCAAGGCACACTTTTAGGCTACAGGGACTCATCCTTTGCAGTTCACTGTCTTTTTATAGTGGTGTTAAGTTAGAGCTGGGGAGACGCATCTACGTCATTGATTACGTGAATACGTCCATTCGCGTAACATGCATAGTTCCTTCAGAAGGTCATAATTATATTAATCAAGTAATAAAAAAATATATTTTGACAAAGTTAATTGTTAGATAAATTGATACAAAAAAGAACTGATAGCTGCAACCATATGTAAAATATTAGCCCTCTCCCTCTTTACAGTTTCTGCGGACTTTCATAACTTTTCAGAGTCCTGACAGGCTGAATGAATGCTATCTATCAAATATGATGTTACACATTAAATTCTTAATCATCTGGCATGATTGCCAGTGTGTAATTTAGATGCCTATGAAACATGAATATATTTTTTCCTTTCAAATTCTTGTTTTTTTGTTATGAAGGATAATCGAGGGACAGCCTGGATGGTATGGGTCACATAACATCAAGAGTCGTCACTGACCGATCCTCACAAGGAGTTTTAACAGTGATGTGTTTGTGCATGTTGCCTTGATCTGTGCCCACTGTGGACTGATTTTATAAACACAGTTTTCTGGTTTCTCTTGCTGTGTTGATCTTTATTAACCTATGCTTTCTGGGAACCAGTCACTGTTACATTGAACCCTGAAAATTCTATTATTATATTAAGTTTATTTTTGAGTCTGTTTGGAGTGCAATTTCAGTGGTGGTTTTGCCTGTTTTTGGGAAATCCCAATGTTTAACATTAGGCCTGACAAGACTGATTCATCAGTTCCCAAAAGCTGAATCATTTTCAGCTGTTAATCATACCCAGACTCACTCTTTATCTCTGGCCTGGCACTCAGCTGTACATGGCGTTCCAAGGGATTGAGACTTGAAGGGGCCAAAGACGTGGGTGGGACAGTAGTCAAGGATGGCCGTTGCCAAGGAGATCAATATTTGTTTTTGGGTCATGATTCCACTTTCCAAATGAAAAGTGTCTGTGACTTGTACTGGGCTGTAAACAACAGACAAGCTGGAGTAAGCTGCTTCTAGCATATCACAAATTGGGAAAATATTAACTGCGCTGAGCTCTTAAGAATACCTCTCTGGATTATGCAGCAGTTTGTCAGTTGGGCAGATTTAGACTTGAGTTGAGACATTAGCCAATTGCGTACATTTTGTAATACATCTGTATTTGTGCCACATATATTCTTCATGTCATGTAAAGTACAAATCAAGAAAGTCTTCTCTTTGAACTGAACCAATCTTTGAGTTGTTCTGATATCTCCATGCAAGTTGACTTGTTTAATCGTGACTGAGTTGGGCCCTATGGGTCAGACAGTACAGTCTGTTGTCTAACTGGGTGGAAGTAATAGTTTCTGTGCCTGGCTGTGCTTCTGTGGTCCTTTGTGCAACAAATCCCTCTTATCCTCTCCCACTGACAACAAGGAAGTTGTGACAGACTGAATGCAGCCTCTCGCTATAATTACCATGTAATGGCCATGTCATTTTTGTGTAATAGTTGAGAATTTAGACTCCAGATGTTGGCTTGGTATGTATATGGGTATTTTGATCTACAGTGTACAGACATGTGTTGCCTTGAAGTAAAAATTTAATTACATCCGTACAGAACTTCACACTCTACACTGTCTGACTTTGTTTGTTGGTTGAAACCAAAAAAATCCACCTTTAACTAGTTTTTCGCTGCTCATATCTTCATGTAGTTAATATTTGTTTTGAATGTGTTGATAGTATGGGCTCATGTAAGGAATGTTTTCCATAAGGCTTGATTTATCAGTCTCTTTTGTCTACCTGATAATGCAGATCATGTTTTTGCTGTGTAGGATTTTCAAGGACTAAAAACCCCAAGTTACATATTCTCCGTTTGGCTTGTGTGTACCTGTCATGTCCCTGCTGAGTGGAGCCAGTAGGAAGAGTTAACTCTCTGCTTCCCTCTTCACCACACTCTGTCCTTTGTACAACTGTTCTCAGCCACCGTGTACGAGCCTGTAAAACAGCCAGAGGAGAGAAGAACAGATACAGCAGGAGGCAGGTCAGATGTAATTTTAACCTCAAACTGAAAGCCTTCTCACAGCTTGTTTCCAATTAAGAGGCCCTGCCAAGCAAGAGAGTATGAGAGGGGATAGATTGAGAGACGGAAGAGTGAGAGACTGTTGGAGGGGGAAAATAGAAACACAAAAAGAACTAACTGTGAGACTCTGAGAGACTGAAAGACGGAGGGACAAATTAAAAGCATGTGAGAAGCAGAACAACACATGCTAGCCATCCAGCAGTGAGAGGTGAGTGCATAGCTAGCTGGGTGCTGACGTTGGTCTGCTAGGTGTATTTATAGGCTTGCAGGGTTTTAATCCTCAATATTGGCCAAA